GATATATTCAATATGGCTAAACAAGTAAGACAAAACATGATTGAGCCTACTCTCAGAGGTTTGAAGTTGTTGGAAGAGGAAGGGCTCACCGGGGACAATATGGTACGGGGATTTATTGGAAAGGGTTTCAAATGGTTATACGATGATGGCTTTGTATTCTCGGGAAATGGATCGAGAGGCGATAAAATGGTACCAGAAGTCTGAGAAGTACAAAAAGCTCTTCAAGTCGGCGAGGAACGCGAAATGGAGGGAAGAAAAGGAGCGTGAAGAGAGATCGAAGAAGGAGGGTAAGGAAATGTCGAACGATGATGAGGAGTACAAGAAGTTGGTGGACGAGATGAATAAGAAAATGTTTGCTATGCAACCCCGGCTTGGCGCTTGATTATTTTCTTTGTGAAAGTGTTGAACCTGTGTAATTATAGTACTTTGTGGTAGCAGTCAATTTGGCAACAGAAATTGCGTCGTGTAACAAACATGAACTGTACTAACGTTTTTTCACTTGGAAGAAAAGAAGGACGTATCAGCTCCATCTTTATCCATTTCTATTTGGCCTGGTTGCATCAATGTATCAAGCCTTGAGTCGTCTGCACAAGGTATCGATTGGTTTCTGCCGTTACCCCTCTGCCATGTATACTTATACATATAGTCGTGACTTGTTTAAAGTTATGCTTTCATGAAAGAGTGAGAGGAAGGTCACATCATCAATTAGTGCGGGATTGACCTTTTCATATACTTCGGGCAGGGTTGGAGAAATACTATCTGATAGCAGACAATGAGTGGTCCTTTTGTAGTTTGATGATTTGAACATGTCATGACTGTAGCTTGAGCGTCTAGTATTGACTCAACTCTCAGCCGGTCTATGATTCCTTGCGAAAAGATACTTACGACGATTCACTTTCGCTTCCCAGACAGGACATTAGTTCTCTCCATACGCTAGGCGCCTGCGCTCATCGCTGATGTTGCATTCTATAATCAAAAAAACAAAGCGCCATTCTATCAGCTGTTCCTGTATGACCACCGCAGGAGTCGAACCTGCAATCTCCTGATTCGTAGTCAGACGCGATGCCATTTCGCTCAGGCGGCCATGAGTAACAGTCACGCGGTCGACTCGCTCAACCTATCCGGCGTCAAACACTTCGCTCTGAACTGAAAGAGAAATGAGTTCGTCCCATCTTACATCAACCTCGACGACAGGCTCCGGGGCCGAAGCGCTAAAGCTTAAAAGATTCGGCTTGCCAAAAATCGTGCGCCTCGTGTCAACGCTTCGATAGAAACAGGTCTGTTACTTAGACTCTGAAGAGTCATTAATCAATGATTACAGTTGTTTGGTCTGAAAGAATTAAAAGCAAATAAGAACTCAAGAACTCGAGAAAGTTCTTTTGAACCAGAACCACGACCATCAACAACGATGAAACGAGGCTTTCTCAACAAACCAAACGCATTTGGCAAAACATCGACGACTCGGACAGACAATGGCTCCTCCAATATCACACAGCAGTCCCTGAAACTACTTCCCCCCTTGAATCTTGCAGAACAATCCAGAATGCCTGGTGGTCTCAAACGAGGAAAAGGTAAAAAAAAAATGGGATTCTCACATACTTGTATAACATTTTTAACTCAACTTTTTTCCTCCCGTTTTACTACGTAGTCGATGTTGGCGATTTTAAAGCCCCAGAACTTGAAATCCAAATCCAAGCCATCGACAACACCAAACTCGATTACGCAGATGACGAGTGGTTCGTATCCACCCAGCCAGCTCAAAGTCCAGGTGCTACCCTCTCAGATGTTCCCGACAATTGGTCAGTGTGTTACATCAGCGGTCGTGCAAAACGTGCCATCCTCTCTGTTCCTGGGTTCCCCGAACCTCTTCCTCGTTCCGATTGTTCTCGTCCTAAACAATACAAGATCATCGAAACGCCAGGAAAAGGCATGGGCATGTTCGCGACGCGCGATATTGAATACGGAGAGTTGATCCTCACTGAGAGACCGTTGTTGGTGTTTCCTGCTTCGCCCCGACACATGTCAAGCCTCGCATATCCCAAACATTTCACGATCGATCAGATTCAGCAAGCTCAATTGAACCAATTGGAGAAGCTGATGGAGACATTGGTTGATCAAATGCCGAAAGAGAATCAAGAGGCGTACAAGAAGTTGGCGAATTGCCATCAAGAGGACGGGAGTGGTCCACTTCTTGGGATTGCGAGGACTAATGGTATGTATAAAACTGTCCCTTTTCCCCTCGTCCACTTTCTGATCAACTAACTGTTTCGTTGAACTGATGCCTGTGTGTATAGGCTTTCCTATTGGAGATTACTACGAGCCTAGTGTGTTCTCTCCGTGGCTATATGCATTTGCATTTTTGACCTTATTCGTAACTTTTTTTTCTATTTATTTCAGAAATACCAGGATTTCCCGAGGCAGCAACGCGATACAGCGCAACTTTCAAGGATATTTCTCGTATTAACCACAGGCAAGTTGATTATCACGTCTTTTCAACTACCCATAAAAAATCGCTATAACTGCATCTTATCTCAATTTATCTAACGCGCGCTTATTATACACACCAGCTGCCGCCCCAACGCCTGCCGTGACTGGGATTCTCCCACCTTCTCTTTCCACCTTCGAGCTTCCAAACCGATCAAGAAAGGCCAAGAAATCACCCTCTCTTACATCTCCGACGCCGTTGATCCCACCAGCGAACGTCAACGTCAATTGGCTTCGTACGGATTCACGTGCACCTGTGAAGCATGCTCGAACCCAGAAATCAGTGATCCCAGGTCGAAGCAGATCAAAGAATTGCTTAATCCGACCGTATCGATGATCAATCCGATGACGTTGGGATTGCTTGACCCAGCGACTGCTAAGGGGCTCGGGATGGATAAAGCTTTACTAGAGTCGAGTTCGAGTTTGGGAATGGCTTTGGGTATGCCTGGGGGGACTCAGATGTCAAAGGAAAAGAAGAAGGGGAAGGGTCCTCCCGGGCCCGGCGTTGAGAATGTTGATGATATATTCAATATGGCTAAACAACTAGGACAAAACACGATTGAGCCTGCTCTCAAAGGTTTGAAGTTATTGGAAGAGGAAGGTTTAACCGGGACAATCTGGTACGGGAATTTATTGGAAAGGGCTTCAAATGGTTATACGATGATGGCTTTGAATTCTCGGGAAGGCTTTGAATTCTCGGGAAATGGATCGAGAGGCGATGAAATGGAATCAGAAGTCTGAAAGGTATAAAAAGCTCTTCAAGTCGGCGAGGAACGCGAAATGGAGGGAGGAAAAGGAGCGTGAAGAGAAATTGAAGAAGAAGGGTAAGGAAATGTGGAACAATGATGAGGAGTACAAGAAGTTGGTGGACGAGATGAATAAGAAAATGTTTGCTACGCGGCCCCGGCTTGGCGCTTGATTATCTTTTTTTTTGAAAGTGTTGAACCTGTGTAATTATAGTACTTTGTGGTAGCAGTGAATTTTGCAGCAGAAATCGCGTCGTGTATACAATATCAGAAGTGGCAGAGTGTACAGGAGGCCAACAAAACTTAACTTGACTTGTATGATATAGTCTCTCTTTTCATATGAAAAATTATTTCTAATTTTATGAGCTGTTGTCTCATGTTACTATATCCTGTTCTTCCTTGATATTGATTCTATCAATCAGGCATACTAAGTAGTAGGTGTTGTTAGGGGTGGACATTGTACCAAAGGAAAAGGAGTGTGAAGAGAAATTGAAGAAGGGTGAGGGAAAACAGTGGAATGATGACAAGGGGTTCAAAAAGTTGGTGGACAAGATGAAGAAAAAAATGTTTTGCTATGTGGCCCCAGCTTGTCACTTTGAAAGTGAACCTGCATAATTATAGTAGTATGTGGTAGCAGTAAATTCTGCAACAGAAATTGCGTCGTGTAACAGACATGAATTGTACTAACGTTTTCTCACTTGGAAAAAAAGAAGGACGTATCAGCTCTATCTTTGTTCATTTCTATTTGTTGGCCTGGTTGCATCGTACACTAGCTAGTACAGGATTTAACCGGTCCTTTAAACACCAAATCTGTAATCAGAGCACTGAGTATTACTGCGAGTATGTATCAGATAGATAGCTATCTACAATACATTAAGACCATCCAAACTATGTCTCTACCAATTTTGGGGTCACTAGGATAGGTGTACGCGTAGCAGTGAACAAAAGAAGGCAATGTCCTGTAATTCGGCCGTTCTGGATCATTTGAACAGTGTGACAGGTCAGGTAACAAATGTCACACGCACACGTGTGACAGAACTCAATCGTTGTCGTTCTGTTGACAGTTCTTCATCTGTCTTCACCACTTTCCTCCTCAACCGCTTTTCCAGGTGTAATTTTATGCCTTAGGAGCTACCAGATTATGTGCAAACTCGGGATCTTTTGCATTGTGTGACTGAGTGTCACACAATGTCACCATTGTGACCTCAGTCACACCTCCCACCGACAAAAACACCTGTTTCACCTGTAGAACTCGCAAATCCCTGGTGCTTCACTTCAAACTCATTTTCAAGGGACTTTGAGTGGGTCTGCATGTATGAGAATCACTTCGATTTTGTATACTGTAGATAAGGTAGGTGACATCCACTGGTATCGAGGTCACGTGGTTACTGCCTCCACTGACCTCGACACCGTACTACATCTTCCTCAGCTCGATTTTTGTAATTCTGGCCCCAAGGACATGTAGATAGAATGAGGATGTAGGGGTTCTTGGCAGCTGATTTTGAAAATATATTGCATAAAAAATGTTTTGGGTGTTTTTTTCTAAACAGCGCGGATTGCAAAACAGACGCGACTGACATTGTCCAAAAATTTTGGAGGAAAATTATTGTCCGCCTCGGTTAGAGGTCCACGTGATTACGTAATGTCTTAAAAAGGAAAGGACATGTCCGAAAAGGGAAACAAACACTGAGGATATTTGGTTCGAGTCTCAAAACCTCGTTTCTGAAACCCACATCATGCCAAAGAAAAAATCACAGAAGAGAGCGGGCAACTTCGGGGACTACTACAAGCCAAAGGTCATTCAAACTACACTTGTATTCAAAAGCTGACTGAGATATACTTTAGAAACGACAGAAAACCAGACCCAAGGACAACAATGAAAGCGAAGATGAATTCCATGACCTAGATACAACAGTCCTTCATGCCATTCCCCAAGAAAACTCTCTCTCTGACCACACCTCTTGTCTATCCAACGAAGATTCAGGGTCCATAATGACACAGCTGTCTGATCTCTCTGAAGATGAAGACATTGCCGAGCATGATACCAAAGCCTCGTTGCTAAAATGGTTGAATCTTGGTCGACAAAAGCTGCAGGATCTACGGAGGAAACTCAATCATCAGCTACCCATCAAAACACGAAAGAAATATCACACGAACCATCTAAATGAAGCGCCGTCTGAGCGGACCATCCACCGCCATAAACAGAAGAAGCGGGAGCAACAAGACAGGGAACGACAGGAGGAGGAGCGAGATCCGCGACATCAAAAAACCACTCAAATCACTCACTTCTTCCGAAAAATCCAAGCTTCTGCAAAATCAAAAACACCCGAAGTCCAAATCACTGGTTCACGTTCGGTTATAACTCTGTCAGACTCCGAAGATGATAGCATTGGGACAGGTGACGAGCATGAAGACGGAGATGACTGCTTCGACATAGACCCATTTGGAATCAATGATGATGAGAGCGAAGAAGCCGGTGAAGAAGCCAGTGAGGAGACGGAGGAGACAGGATGCAGACCGGGAACATCAAGACAGGTTACGATTGAGACTGTTGAAGATGAGGAAGACGTGATTAGTGCCAGCGCCCGACAGGAAGAGGGGCTAGACACACCGGGAGATATTTGGGACCCATCTGAAGAAATCGAACCTCGACCCACTCAATCAAACTCAAGTTCAAATCTTAGACCCGCACCAGAAGACGGCATCTTTGTTCGAGCAGATGACACCTTCAAACCTAATGCCTTTTCCAATGCTCGAAGTCCTGGAACCCATGACATCCCATCTCCCGCCTCTGTTGATGCCGCAATTTTGGCCCTCAACGATATTCTACACCCACGTCGCCGCACTGGGCGAG